TCCTCCAATGATTGCTACGAGGTTTTTTTGAGTGTCACATATATAGTTGGGGACAAATCTACGTGATTTGAAAAGTAGGTCCAGAGTAGTCCGATAGGTCATCATTGCATCGTAATAACTATCATAGATGTGGAATCCAAGGGTGAGATTTGGCAAGATCTTTTGATTCTTGTTGATTTCTTTTACAGCAAATGCCAAGGCCAGGGTATGCTGATAGAATTTTGTCACCATGCTGCAAATAAAGTTATATTTTCAAAATTTCAAGTGGAAATTGTGGGTTTCTGGGTTAGCCAGAAATGCACCCTGCAGCTTTGTCCCAGGTGGCCAATATGCCCCTTTAAACACTCTGATGGTTTTTGGAGTAGGCTTGAGATCACCCAAGTATGTTGCAATCACCATTCCTTGACCTGGATAGAGTCAGAGGACTCAATTATGGGCAGGTAGAGTGGTGAGATGCAGCCAGACATCTTCATTGACTCTGCCATTGTAAGTCTCATAATGCAAGAGTGTAAGTGGCTAACTTCCACTAACTTGATTAAATTAGATTCTTTTAAAAAAGTAAGTACACTGTTACAGAAAAAAGTGAGGTATTTACTGTAAACTGCCCAGACAGAAAGATGAGTTTTAGCTTTAATGGCAGCTGAAAGAAGACTGATTTAAATGAGACTCTGGCAGCATTGAAAACGATCCTGGGACCAACACCAGTGCACTGCCTCAGCTTTCATTAAATATACAGGAGTTAAGAAAAAGAACAGTCTCTGTTGAGGAGACAGTCAAAAAATGGGGTGAGAAGAATTACCAAGTTAAGAAAAAACTGGATATTATAGCATTGAAAGGTGAAAAAGAAAAACCAAAATATCAAATAGTGGTTCTAAAAATGCCTCAAAAAGTATTCCTCCTAAAAAAATATCGGAAATCCAAGAACAAGATGAAGACAACTTAAATGGAGATTAGCATAAGAAGTTCAAATTTCTTGAGATGGAGGAGACTTGATGCCCTCATTGACAGTCTTCCACATTAAGTCAGAAAATGCCAAAGCAAAAAACTGTCAGGATATTGTTTGGTACAATTTACGTCAAGGGCTATAAAGGATAGAATTTTACAAACTCTTCAAAGGCAACCTACACATTGAAGGACATAGAATTACAATTCTGAAAGAAACTCCATGAAGAATTTTAAAGAAAAAGGATTATATATGTCCGGCAACTACTCTCAAAAATAAAGGATTGGTCTGTTAATCTTTTTGGGTTTATTTAAATGCTGAAAATAACTTTCTCAATCCACTTAAATTATGTACAGTACATAATACTTTAAGAAAGACTTGAAATCAGTTAGACATAACACGAAGTAAATGGGGATTTGAAGGGATAAGTGGGGAGACACTTACTATGGAGCTTTGAACATATTCTCCGAAGGCTGTTCTTTGAACAAAAGTTCATCAAATACATAAAAGATTTGAGAAGAAATCCCACCAATGATGAGGTCACCTGGCTGGTACCACTCATGGGGAACAGGAACAGGATAACTGCTGGGACACCTGGTAGTATTTGCTTTGTACACAAAAGCCACTTGCAAAAGCAGCAACAGAAATAGATCAAGCATCCTTGCAGTGCAGCTTATTTCCCCTTCCCACAAGCCTCTTAAGAAGTGGCTACTGGAAAGTCTCATGAGTTTTGCTTAATTGAACAAATTATAATAAATTGGAAAATTGCATGGAGAGATAATAACTTTTTCAGAGTTTTAACTCATAGTGACACTTTTTAACAATCACCATCATAATGACTCCATGTTGCCTCTGCCCCTGAGTGGCCCACAAAGTGGCAATTGGTAAGTGAAAATCAGCCCCAAAAAGTAAGAGGGAAGTCATTTGTGGATGCAAAGCAACAAATCTTACAACAAAGACCACTTGTGAAACTTTAGTTTAATGAAAGGGCTGGGAAACCAACATTTCTCTACACAACAAATCTGTGGCAACACTCTTCTCCAAACAACCCCCCACTCCCCTCCCAGATTCATCAACAAGAGAAGAATTAATCAATTGCTTTTTCAGGGTTTCTTTCTTTTTTCTTATCCCCCCCCCCCCCAGATTTTTATGTTAACATTATTTCCATACATGCCAAACATTTTCCACATATACAAAACTGGGATTATACAAACCCCTCATACTTCCCCCTGTTCCACCCTGGTTTCCATATTTTACCCTCTTTTCTTGCATATAATTATAATTATCCATTCTATTTCATCTCCTTATTTACTACTTTAATTCATTTTACTTCATAAATGTTATATATAACACTTCACTTTGGGACCATTTCAATCGGATACTCCCTGCTGATGTGGATAGATTCCTCCAAGTTGGTAGGCCCACCACCTGCCTCCTTGATCCGTGCCCATCTTGGCTGATTAGGGAGTGTCCAGGTTTAAAATCTTCCATATCTGGGTAAGGTAATTGAGAGAGTGGTTGCTGAACAGCTTGGTAGGTTTCTGGAGGAAACATCGGCTTTAGATCCATTTCAGTCTGGTTTCCATCCTGGTTTTGGGACCGAGACAGCTCTGGTTGCCCTAACAGATGATCTCCGTAGACAACTGGATAGAGGCTGTCACCAATATGCTGATGACACTCAGCTCTATCTGCTGATGGATGGCCACACCGACTCGGCCCCGAACACACTGACCAGATGCTTGGAAGCTGTGGCTGGATGGTTTCATGGGAGCCGATTGAAACTAAATTCTTTGAAGACAGAGGTCCTATGGCTGGGTCGGGATGGCATGGGGATGAGGGACCAACTCCCTTCTCTTGCAGGGGCCCAATTAGTGCCATTGCCTTTCGTTAAGAGTTTGGGTGTAATCCTTGACGCCTCCCTTTCCATGGAGGCGCAGGTTACAGCAACAGCCAAGGCAACATTTTTCCACCTTTGCTGCATCAAGCAGTCGGTCCCTTACCTTTCCCGCCCCGACCTGGCCACAGTGATCCATGCAACGGTCACCTCCAGGCTTGACTACTGTAATTCGCTCTACGCGGGGCTGCCCTTGAACCTGTCCCAGAAACTCCAGCGGCTGCGGAATGCCATGGGAGCACATTGACCCAGTGCTTTTCAAGCTGCACTGGCTCCCGGTGGAGTACAGGGTCAGATTTAAGGTGCTGCTTTTGACTTATAAAGCCCTTCACGGCCTAGGACCCTCGTACCTACTGGACTGCCTTTCCCGGTATGCCCCACGGAGAGCTTCAAGGTCCATAAATAACAACACCCTAGTGGTCCCAGGCCCTAAGGAAGTTAGATTGGCTTCAACCAGAGCCAGGGCCTTTTCAACTCTGGCTCCGGCCTGGTGGAACGCTCTGCCTCATTAGACCAGGGCCCTGCAGGATCTGATTTCTTTCCGCAGGGCCTGTAAGACAGAGTTGTTCCACCTGGCTTTTGGCTTGGAGCCAATGTGATTCCCTCCCTCTCTTTCTTTTTTCTTTTCCTTCTCCTCCTGCGATGAGGCTACATTTTAATATTTTAATGTTTCATTATTTTAATGTTGTATTTTAATGTTGTTTTTAAGTTGTAATCATTCAACTTGTTTTTATTATTGCTTGTAAGCCGTCCTGAGCCCGGCTTTGGCTGGAGAGGGCGGGGTATAAATAAAAATTATTATTATTATTATTATTATTATTATTATTATTATTATATCAAGCCTGCTAATGTTTCTAAATAGCTACAGTGGATTTTAAGGTACTCAACCAAATTGTCCCATTCTTGTTTAAAAACTTTATCATCTTGATGTCTGATCTTCACGGTCATCTTTGCCCATTAAGCATAATCCATCATTTTGGTAATCCACTCTTATTTTGTTGGGACCTTCTCTTCCTTCCACATGCTTTCCCAGGCTTTCAAGGCCTTCGGATAGTGTTTCATTTGCTTAGTGCTTCATTTGATAGTGCTTCAGAATGAATTGCTCCTGCAATGCACATTTTGTGGAGCTGCCCCTGAGGCTGGCTTTTGTAGCTAGTGCAAAATGCAGTGGCTCAGTTGCTGACTGGGGCAGAATTTCACCATCATGTTATGGCACTGTTGATGAAAGAACTGAACCGCCTGTAAATGAGGTCAAGGTGCAGCTTGGGATCAGAATACTTAAAAGATGCTCTTCCCAAAGTGAGTAAGTGAAATTATGGATTCAATTTTCTGTCAAATGGTTTTCACCAAACTCCTCTCAAAAATTACCACAGAGACCAAAAGAAACAGCCTTCATGTCTCTTCTGCAACCATCTCTCGTTATCAATATAATGTACAACCATAGTTTAAACAATTTCCTTCTTCATTTTTATTCAGCTCTTAGAAAGGAGACTTTAACCTTTATAATGCAATGATAGAAAAATACAATGATTTTCATGACTCATGTGCACAAATATCTGTGAATCCCTCCAAAAAGAATCATGGGGGGAAATTGTGGCATTTCATAAGATGAAATCGGGAAAAATTAAGATTTTATGGAGAAATGTAGAGCTGAGTTTCTAATAGCAGTGCAGCACCCCATAAGATCACCGTCAAGCTTGCAAATCTTGAAATCCAAAACTTTCATCCCCCTCTATTGCTCTGTGCTTTGATCTGGACTAGTAAATGGGATGCAAAGCATGTGCTGCAACATAGACAGCCTTGTAGATATTCTATCTGTGGCCAGTCATGAGCTGTTCAAACTGAGGTCCAGTAAGGCGTTCCAGCCTCTTCTCTCCAGCACACACTTTATTGTTTTGCAATATATGTCACATTAAAAATGAAACATGTTTCATACAAATTGCTAAAGAAAATACTACAATGAGAGAGAAGGAGTAACAGGAAGGCTTTCCAGCCTCTCTCTCCAGAACATACTTTATTATCTTCCATTGGCACATGAAGATTTGGATATACAGTCAAATGCAAAGGGGGGCTGTATATGGTTGTTTCCCCTGGAGCTCAGGCCAGAGAGCTCCAGACGGACTCTTCCTCATTCTTTGGTATGCTACACCCCCACCACTGCAAGGCCATAATTCAGTGGTAGAACATCTGCTCTGCATGCAGAAGACCCAGGTTCAATCCCAGGCATCCCCAGGTAGGGTTAGGTGGGACCTTGTCTGAGGCCCTGGAGTGTTGCTGCCAACTTAGGAGAAGGAAATACAGAGCTAGAAGGAAAAACAGATCTGTTTCAGTGTAAGGTGGCTTCTCTTGTTAACTGCCTGTCATGGTGGATATTGTGGTCTAACAAAAAAAGAAGAATTGGAACTGGGCACGGTCAGCATAGTATAGGGGGCTGTAAGCAGTCTGATACACATTTAAAGTGAAAGGTGAGACCCAATTCTTTTCTTCTGGGTTCTGCGGCCTGTTGACTGAATGCAGATCACCTTTGGAACTAACCTTCTTAGAGTTGTGGGGCTCCATGATGGGGTGGGCCAGCAAGGCCTCCCTGCCCCCTTAGGTGGGAACAGATGGAAATAGGTGGCCTTAAATCCAACCCTGTCTAGGTGGCAGTGTGTGACTTGACTGAGTGGTTAGCAGCTGAATTCCAACACAATCAAACTGAAGATAATTTAAATAATTTACATAAAAACACCCTGACTTCACTTGTGTCACACGCCTTTATTTCATGTTTACTGTTGCAATAGTATAATTTTCCTCTTATGGATGATGCATCTGTTTCTTTGCCACAAATTTATTGTGGAGAGAAATAATAGCTGTCAGGTCATGTGGTGAAATGGGCTTTGGGCAACCACCTTTATTTCAACTGGAGTTGGACTTTTATTTCAAGATTTTCTGCTTTGAGTCACAAAACAAAATGGATTCACTTTGACTTTCCTGCTGGTGTTCACTTACCACGGAAGACTTTTAGATAAATGCCACTTTTTGTGCCACAAAGGGGCAGAGGCAGCACGTTGGAAGATTTGAGAATAAACAGAGAACTCAACGTGATATTTTTAAAAAGTCATTGGAACTAAAACTTTTTAAAAGTCGTTAAGTCATTGTACAATTATCCAAATCACCATAATTTGTGCACCTGGTCAGAACACAAGAGAAATAAGAAAACTGTCAATAAACAGCCATAAAAGGTATTATAATAATGTACCTCTGTATCATAAGGAGATAGAAATAGTGGCAAGAAGCAGCCGGGGCTCTCAATTTCTTTTCTGCCATTTTGTATTTTCTTCATATTATTGGTCTGTTGTGAAATCTGAGTGTTGGAAATCTCACTTAGCATGCAAAGCATGTGTTTATACTGCTTTGATTTTTAAATAAGGTGTGCCTATCTCTCTTGTTGTGCTCTATTGACAGAGCCAGGTATCATGAATTCAAGTTTGCGGAAGTCATTCTGCAGGGACTGATAGGCAAAGAGCATTCAAGATTGCAAAGAAGCTTGCCTACAAGGATGCTGTGGTCATTCACTTTGATTTTTCTTTTGCCTCATGTTTTGTGCAAAGCAGCTATGAGGTGCCCTGGGACTGATACATTTCCTGTTCCACATGAGTGGTACCAGTCAGGTGGCCTCATCATCGGTGGGATTGCTTCTCAGTTCTATTATTCCTTCTCTGAAGATTTATTCATGGAAAACCCTTCACATAAACTTTTTGATGATGATCCACAGTAAGAGACTCTCCCCCCCTCTTCATTTTTGGGCTTAATCATTCCAGCATTTTTTTATAGTATTGCATTTTCTACTAAGCTGATTGGCAATAAATAATGGCTTTGCTCTCTGTGATAATAATACGTTCAATTTTGAAAAACAATGTGGAGAAAGGGTGGGAGACTTTGTATATCTTGTTTTAACTCTACCACAAGGACCAACAAAAGGGTTATGGAGGGGTTAGTGCTTTACATGTTCTTGAGGCACCTAATCTGAAAGTGTCTAATCTTCCTACAACAACTTCACCTTTTTTAAAACCCCAAATTCCCATTTTTTGTTTCAATTAAAATGCTTTAATTATATGAACTTGTTTTCAAAAACATTTGCTTTCTCCATCTTCCTTGAACTGCAAATGCAAGCTGCAAAAATATTTGAACCCTGTGGAGGTTTTGTGGTTTAACAACTCAGCCATTAAATTAGTGAAATATAGAGCAGTATGCTCTGTATGCATTTCTGACCATGGTATACTGATAGAGAAGTGAAGATAAGATAAGTCTAGAGGAGTTAGTTTATTCTTCTATGAAGTTTAGAATTGAATATATTTGATAGTTGTGATGGAAAGCTGAAGAACCTTAAAACTGAGATTAAAAGAAAACATTTCACCCCATTTTTCTATGCCTGACTTACATAGCAATCTAAGAGGTGACTTCTGGTATGTTAAAAGTGATTGATTGCACCTAAACCAAGTCTGCAATTTTATACAAAAACATTGGAAGTTATTCCCATTGAACTCATTTGGACTTGCATTTGAGTAGAAATGAATGAATGAATGAATGAATGAAACTTTATTTGTGTCAGCCATCGGCCATAGCAACAAAAGAACATTGTGGTATAGAGAGAACAAAATAAAAAGTCAGTTATATAAAACACAGTTTAGAGTCCTGAATCAGCAGTCAAATAGTGGAGCTTATTATTAAATCCCCCAGCTAAAAACCTTGCAACCTTTGCTGTCATCTGCTCCTCTTGATCTGCCAGGAGAAAAGAGACTGTGGCAGGGGTGGGCGGCCTGGAATAGACAATAAAAGAGGGTGATAATGTCATTCCTCAGGCCTTTGTAAAGAGTGCAAGCCAGGAGGACATGCACCACTGATTTGGTGTTGCCATCTCCGCAAGGACATAAGGGACATAAGGGTTTTTCGTATGGAATCTGTTGGAATCATCCCTCAGTCCAATAAATGAATACCAGAAACTGCCTTGTATAAGGATGGTAGTAACTGTAACTAATTCAAAGAAGCATTGATGCCTTCCTGGGCTAAATGCATAGAATTGTCACCTTCATTGCCAGTTTGAATATAAAGAGAAAGAGGTGGACATTGTTGTAGTCTTTTTTAAGGGGGGGGGAGTGAATATTAAAGATCACACAAGGATTAACTAAAAGATGGTCAAAGTAATATAGAAATGGCATGATGAGTAATTAATTTCATTTAGGCTGAAGCGTTTGATATTTATTAAACTAACCTCATTTGCAGCATGATAACAAAATTCTACCAGCACATCCTGGCCCTGGCATTTGCTGTAAAAGTGATAAATGAGAATCCCAACATCTTGCCCAATGTCACACTGGGGTTCCACATCTATGACAGCTATTATGATGCAAGGATTACTTATCGTAACGCTCTGAACCTGCTCTTTAAAATGCATAGATTTGCTCCCAACTACAAATGTGACTCGCAGAAAAACCTCATAGCCATAATCGGAGGACTTAGCTCTGATACCTCCTTCCATTTGGCTGATACCTTAAGCCTCTACAAGATTCCACAGGTAGGTTTTATGAGCAGGGACATCCACAAATCACACTCATTTCTTCCCATTCTGAAAATGATTTTAAGACTCAGAAAGTGAATATGACTGATATTTAAGCATTACAAGCTGGAATGTCTATCAGAAATGTAGATTACTTCTTACTAGTAGAGATTGCTACACCAGTGAAAGTCTGAGTCAGGCAGAGATCATTCAGCACCTTGGACACTTCCAACACCTCCATCACGTGCCTCACATTAACTGCAAGATAAGTTGTTTCTTCAAGGAACCGGGTTGAACTGAAGACTTACAAAGCTCACCATAGACTTTGCCTCTTTGGGGAGCCTGGATAACCGATTAAAGGGTCCTAAATTATTTTGCACAATTAGACATCTGCAGGGCTAGAGAGGTTCTGTATGTTACTCATCATCTGACTCAGATAACTATAAGGAGATGTATCCTCCATCCAATGTAGCTCTGAATTACCAGGAGATGTTGGTAGTTCTCCTGCCATGAAAATAATACATTTTAAGTTTCCTGCCGTGCACTCTATTGCCCCATTCATAAATCATGACAAATCATTCTCCTTTGAAGAGACCCCAGAGAGCCAGCCTGTACCCTGGCATCCACAAAACAACCACCACAAACACACACACAACACCTTAAACATGCAAACCACAGGTCTTCCATAGATAAGTATCACCACAACTCCAGAAACTGGAAGCATCCTGAAACTTGAAGCATCCTGAAACTTGACGCATCCTTCAATTTAACTGTCTGGAAAACTACCAATTGTGTCAAGAAACATTTCTTGAATGAACAGCCAAATGCTAAAAGTAATTGTTTATACTTATCTTTATAATGTCTGTTCTTTTCCTGTTAGCTTGCATATGGTTCATTTCCGCAAGAGGAGAGTGATATAGATCGTTTGCTTTCCTTTTACCGCATGGTGCCCAATGAAGCTCATCAGTATATGGCAATTATCAGTTTGCTTCAGCATTTTGGATGGACATGGGTTGGACTCTTTGTTACGGATGATGAAGGAGGAGAAAAATTATTGCAAGCCCTGGAGCACTTGTTCTACCAGCATGGGATCTGTTCAGCCTTCACACAAAGAATGGAGAAAGCAGCTCATTCCGATATGCTCATTGAACTTTATGACATACTTGAAAGTTATTATGTGGGTCTCACAAATGACAAAGCCAATGCATTCATTGTCTATGGAGATTCTCAGACATTGACCTGGCTGAGAACTGTTATATTTCTACGAGATCCTGGAAATAAGGAAAGCACATCATTTAGAAAGGTGTGGATCATGACAACACAAATTGATTTTGTATTATTGAGTTATCAAAAGGTTTGGGGTCTTGAGCTCTTTCAAGGTGCCATTTCCTTCACCATTCACTCAAAAGAGCTTCTCAAGTTCAATGAATTTCTTCAGATCATAAAACCTTACTGGAACCCAGCAGATGGTTTTCTCAAGGACTTCTGGGAGCAAGCATTTGACTGTAAATTTCCAGATCAGCTCATGCAAGATACTGAAACATGTACAGGGGAGGAGAAGTTAGAGTGTCTGCCTGGGCATCTGTTTGAAATGGGCATGACTGGCCACAGCTACAGTATCTACAATGCTGTCTTTGTTGTGGCTCATGCTTTACATGCTATTTATTCATACAGATCAAAGCACAGAGCAGGAGACAAAAGGTTTGAACTTCAAGATCTGCAGCCTTGGCAGGTAACACGTATTTTAATATTTTAATATTATAAAATTGTATTTTCATATTTTGCTGGAAGCTGCCCAGAGTGGTTGGGAAACACAGCCAGGTGGATGGGGTATAAATTATTATTATTATTATTATTATTATTATTATTATTATTATTATTCTGCAAGCAGTGAGCCAATTTCTTCAAGACCAGATATCAAGTGAGTGTCCCCCTTTCCTGTATATTTATTATGTACAGAATTTTTGCCATCTATTGCTGTGTTATAACTTTTCCATCTGCTATATGAAAACAGCTCATTGTTTAGAATTGGTCTTTATTTATTTTTCTTATTTTTCCTTTTTCTCTTTGAATCAGCTCCACTATTTTCTGCAAGGCACTTTATTTAACAACTCAGCAGGAGAAACAATGTCCTTTAATGATAAAAGGGAAATGGGAGGTGGATTTGACATCAGAAACATGATCACATTCCCAAACAAGTCTTTCCTTCAAATGAAAGTTGGACGAGTTGATCCTTATACTCTTGAAGGAGAAGCATTTGTCATTCATGAAGATTTGCTTGTATGGCACAGAGGTTTTAATGAGGTCTGCATCCTTGGAATCCTACTCGCTGTTCTTATGACGTGTTCTTTAGATGTCGGAAATTACATTTTGTTTAAAACTGTTGTTTCCATCTGATATGGCCAAGGAAAAATGTGGCTGCCTAGCACATTCAAAATTGATACTGCTTAGAAATGCCAAGGGGAAAAAACAGTGTCCAGTGGTACCTTGGATTAAGAACGTAATTTGTTCTGGAGGTCTGTTCTTAACCTGAAACTATTCTTAATCTGAGTTACCACTTTACCTAATGGGGCCTCCCACTGCTGCTGCGCTGCTGCCATGCGATTTCTGTTCTCATCCTGAAGCAAAGTTCTTAAACCGTGGTACTACTTCTGGTTAGCAGAGCCTGTAACCTGAAGTGTCTGTAACCTGAAGCATCTGTAACCCGAGGTACCACTGTATAACTATATCTTCCATATGCATAAAGCAAAGCGTTGGAGTATCTAAATGAAATTTTGATGTAGACGCCTATTAGGTAACTTCTTTTTATAATGTATAGAGACAAAAACTCAGTAATAGAACACATACAGCTTGCCAAAGGTCCCAGGTTCAATCAATTGCATCTCCAGGCAGGGGTAAAATGAAGTCCTGGTGAGCTGTTTTCAATTGTTTTGCAGCATTTTGCAGAACAAAGTTTGCATTTTGTTGAGCCCTAAAACTGTGTGGGTGACCTGCCAAACTGAGGGCCCTACAAGTCACCCCCAATCAACTAATACAATATTTTGGCACAGGTTTGGTGTGAATTGAACAATATTGGAATTGGGGTGACCACTATAGCACCATGTTGGGGAAGTCAGACACTATTTGGGGAAACCTCGGAATGTGGGGTTTTTTCATAATTGCAAAGTTTGTAATAGGTTTGGAGGGGATCCCAAACAATGTGACCCATAGTTAACGCAGCTGCATAATGCAGTTTTTTTATATTAAACCTTTGTTTGCTGTGTAGTGAACTTCATTAAGAGAAGTCAAATAAGTGATTAGTTTCTCTGATCTCCTAAACTGCTTTTCTGCTATGGATAGGTGATTCCCCTTTCTCTGTGTAATGACCACTGCCACCCTGGGAATCAGAAGAAAAAGAAAGAAGGGGAAAAGTTTTGCTGCTATGGTTGTGCTCCATGTACAGAAGGGGAAATTTCAAACCAGGATGGTGAGTTATGTAGCATTCATATTTGCCATCCTGTGAGGAAACTGGCAAGGCTAGATGGTAGCATTTGAGGGGGTTATTTTAGCGCAAAAAAGAGTAAGGAGCAACATGATAAAAAATTGATAAAATTGTTCAATGCATTGGAAAATAGGGTAAACATAATACTAGATCTCAGGGACATCAGAGGAAAGAGAGTGTTGGATAATTCAGAGCAGGCAAAAGAAAACTAACATCTTCATGAATTACATGATTAATCTATGGAATTTGTTCCCTCAAGAGGCAATGATGGGCACAGCTTTTGAAGCCTTCAAAGGAGGATTAGACAAACTCATGGAGAATATCAATGGCTACGATCTCTGATGGCTTTGCTGTGCCTTCATGGACAGAAGCTGTATTCTTCCAAATATGAATTGCTGGGAAGTGTGGAGGTCGGGGAAGACTTCTGTTTCACTCAGGTCCCGCTTGCAGGCTTCCCATAGGTATCTGGTTGGCCACTGTGAAATCAGGAAGCTGGATGAGACGGGTCATTGGCCTGATCCAGCAGGCTCTTATGTTCTTATCCAAAAGAGGAAATAAATTAGAAGGCAAAATACTGTTGAAAAGTAAGAAGGGAATCAGTATAATGGCTTTCAGAATAAGTGAGATCAAAGCATTTATATCTGAACATTAAAACACATGGCACCAATAGGTTTAATTTCATGTCAGTGAAGCAGTCACATAGAAGACAAAGTACTGTTCAATCAGTATTGAATTTTGACCTTGTTTGTTTTTCAGATATGAATGACTGCTTCAGATGCCCAAAAGCTCAGTATCCAAACAAGAACAAAACTGCCTGCATTGAGAAAACAATGACCTTCCTTTCTTATGAAGAACCTTTAGGGATTAGTTTAGCATCAGTTGCCCTTTCTTTCTTCCTCATCACAGCTTTGGTGCTAGGAATATTCATTAAGTACAGAGACACTCCCATAGTCAAAGCCAACAACCGAGACCTCACCTACTCTCTCCTTGTCTCTCTCCTGCTCTGCTTCCTCTCTTCACTGTTATTTCTGGGTGAACCTAGCACAGTCTTCTGCTTCCTCCGGCAACCAACGTTTGGCATCATCTTCTCTGTAGCCGTTTCTTGTGTGTTGGCCAAAACTATCACTGTAGTTCTAGCTTTCTTGGCCACCAAGCCAGGGTCCAGCATGAGGAAGTGGGTAGGGAAAAGACTGACAAATTCCATTGTATTTTCCTGTTCTCTTATTCAAACAATTATTTGTACTGTGTGGTTAATGACATATCCACCATTCCCTGATTTTGACATGCACTCTTTAAGAGAAGAAATCATTGTGCAATGTAATGAAGGGTCAGTCATCATGTTCTACTGTGTCCTGGGCTACATGGGCCTCCTGGCCATTGCCAGCTTCATTGCCGCATTTGCGGCCCGCAAATTACCTGACAGTTTTAATGAAGCCAAATTCATTACCTTCAGCATGTTGCTCTTTTGCAGTGTTTGGCTGTCTTTTTTTCCAGCCTACCTGAGTACCAACGGGACACACATGGTGGCTGTGGAGATCTTCTCCATCTTGTCCTCCAGTGCTGGGTTATTGGGCTGCATCTTTGCCCCTAAATGCTACATCATTATTCTGAGGCCAGAACTGAACAACAGGGAACAACTTATAAGAAAAAAGAATTAAACAATCCCCCCACACTCAGGTAAATATTAAATATGTGATAGGTAAGAGTTGAAAAACAATATCTCTCTCTCTTTCTCTCTCTCTCTTCCAGCAGCAAAAGTACTTTTTGCCATTTGTTTAATTTTATTTTATACATGCATGTCCCGGTATCCAAATGTTTTTATACGAAAATTCACTTACTCTAACATGGGTAATTAGTATCCAAACCTTGTTGTATACACCACAGATTCAGATAGCCAAACCGTTGGAACTGTGTTTAATACTTTAACAAATAAGCAGAGTTTTCTTCTTTGTTTGCCTTTTACAAGGCTTCAGTAGGTTTTTCTGGGTTTTTCACCCTTTGGGGCATCAAAATTTTGAGGCTGAGAACACATTGGAAATATTTCCATAGGAATTAATGGAAATTATTGACTTGTTATTCAAATGGCCACCTTACAAATCATTTTCTAAGAATGTATTGTGTTTGGATAATGATATTTGTGAGGATACAAATGAAATAGCTCAGGAGTGTTAAGTACCACAGCTGTATGTGCCTATTTGGCTTTAGTCTAGTTCAAAGTTACCCTTTAAGTTATTTTTTTGAAATAAACTTTTTAAATTGTTTTTCTTCCAACATGAAACCCTTTGTAATTTCAGACAGCACATTCTTTTCTTCTTGGTATGTTTTGTTATTGACTTAGACTATCACATATCCAAATTTCCTTATTGCCAATTGTGACAGTTTATTCTCTCCCCCCTTTTTTCTTTAAAAGCTAATTTATTTTTCTTTTCTTTTCTTTTCTATCTTTTTCGTGTTTCTAAAATTTAATAAACTTTTTTTTTGAAAAAGACAAACACATTTTGGAATGTGAATTATTTATTTTAGAAGCCAAATTCACAATTATCCTTGTCCCAAAACTTATTCAACTTTTTTGCTCATAGTTTGCCCCGACATTTTGCCGGATGTATGGCAGCCCTATTGTACCACCTCTGGCGGCCCCACAACTTTAAGAAGGTGTTACATGTCAGCTCTAAAGGACTTCCCTTGGAACAAAAACGTTTAAAATGTTATTAAATCACCCTACAATTATCAAAATCACTATGATTTGTTCACCAGGTCAGAACTCCAGAGGCATTTCAGAAGACACCAGAAGGCACCAGAAAACAGCCAATAAACAGCTTTGAAAGTGATTTTTTAAATATTTATTTATGTTATTGTTCAGACTTTCTTAGAGTGCTTTTTTATTTCAGATTTTACAGAGAGAGGCTATAGAACCCAGCCTCTTGGATAATGGTGCTGTACCATGTGAATCTCCCCTCCCCCCCATCTCTCCCACTTCCTCATTCGTCATCATCATCACCTCCTCTATGGGTGCCACTAAGTGCCCTCCAGCCTCTTCTCTCCAGTACACACTTTATTGTCTTCCATTGGCACATGGAGATTTGGATACGCAATCAAATGCAAAGGGGAGGGGAAATCCTGTACATTGCCACTTCTCCTGGAGCTCCGGGCCATTTGGAATTGAGAGCTCCAGACGGACGCCTCATCATTCTTTGGTATGCTACACCCCCATCACTGCCAGGCCATAATTCAGGGGTAGAACATCTGCTATGAATGCAGAAGGCACCAGGTTCAGTCCCTGGCATCCCAGGGTAGGGTTAGGTGGGACCTTGTCTGAGGCCCTGGAGTGTTGCTGCCAACTCAGGAGAAGGAAATACGGAGCTAGAAAGACAGTTAGGTCTGATTCAGTGTAAGGTGGCTTCTCCTGTGAAGAAGGCAACCATTCAATAAAATAAATTAAAAAATTAAAATAAAATAATGAATTAAAAAATATTTCCACCCATTTTGTAGTTGTGTGGGTAACTGGCTGCTGAGTGATAGGGCAAATAGTGCCTTATTAAGCCGGCCACACATTCCCTCCTCAGCCTCACAGTTGGAATTCTTTCTTTCTCCCCCGTTGCGTTTGTATTTAGCAACTCTTAATGACTTAAAGGGAAACTGGTGGTGCTGTAGTCTAAACCACTGAGCCTAGGGCTTTCCAATTGGAAGGTCGGCAGTTTGAATCCCCGCGATGGCGTATGTTCCCGTTGCTCGGTCCCTGCTCCTGCCAACCTAGCAGTTCGAAAACACGTCAAAGTGCAAGTAGATAAATAGGTATCTCTCCGGTGGGAAGGTAAATGGAGTTTCCGTGCACAGCTCTGGTTTCGCCAGATGCTGCTTAGTCATGCTGGCCACATGACCTGGAAAAACTGTCTGAGGACAAACTAACCCTGTCTAGGTGGGACTGTGTAATTTGACTGAGTTGTTAGCAGCTAAGTTCCAACACAATCAAATTGAAGATTATTTGCACAGTTTACACAAACACCCTGACTTCACATCATTTCATTCCATGTTTATTGTTGCAATAGTATAATTTTCCTCTTATGGATCATGCATCTGGTTTTTTGCCACAAAATTTTTGTGGGGAGACATAATAGTTGTCAGGTCAGGTGGTAAAACGGGCACTGAGTAGTGACCTATCTTTCAACATTTGCTGCTTTGAGTCACAAAACAAAACATATTCACTTTGACTTTCCTGCTGGTCTTCACTTACCACGGAGACTTGAAGCTAATTGCCACTTTTTGTGCCACTAAGGAGTAGAGCAAGCACATAGGAAGATCTGAGAATAAACACACAACTCAACATGTTAAAAAAAAGAACATCCATTGAAACGCAAATTAAATCTTTTAATAACTTTACAATTATTCAAATCACTATAATTTGTTCACCTGGTCGGAACTCCATAACCATTTCAGAAGGCACTAGAAAGCTGTCAATGAACAGCTATGAAAGTGGTTATATTTGATGAAACTCTGTACAATGAATAGATAGGAGTAGTGGCAAGAGGCAGGGATGACTTTCAATTTTCTTTCTCCCATTTTATTTATTTTTTTACATTATTGGTCAGACATGAAATCAGAGTGTTGGAAATCTCACCTATCGGCCAAAGCTTGTGGTTATACTGTTCTGATTCTAAAATAAGGTGTGCCTATCTCTCTTGTTGTGCTGTATTGACAGAGCCAGGCATCATGCACTCTAGTTTGCTGAAGTCATTCTGCAGGTGCTGATGGGCACAAGAGCAACCACGTTTTCAGAGACGCTTGACTACAAGGATGCTGTGGTCACTCACTTTGCTTTTTCTGCTGCCTCCTGTTGTGTGCAAAGCAGCTATGAGGTGCCCTGGGATTGATACATTTCCTGTTCCCCATGAGTGGTACCAGTCAGGGAGCCTCATCATCGGTGGGATAGCTTCTCAGTTCTATTATTCCATCATTGAAGATTTATTCAAGGAAAACCCTTCACAGAATCTGTTTGATGATAATCCACAGTAAGAGACTCTCCCTCCCCCTTCATTTTTGGGATTAATCCTTCCCAGTACTTTATTTAGTATTGTGCACCCTACTAAACTGGCAGGCAGTAAATGATGGCTTTGTCCTTTGTGAGAATGAGAATCCTTTCTATTTTGAAAAGCAATATGTAGCTGTGGTTCGTATGCTTGGTTTTAATTGCACCAAATGGATGTGTAATAAGGACCAACAAGAGGAGGAGGGAGATGATACTGCTGTACCTAGTATTGGGGCACTGACTGTTTAATCTTCCTAGAACATACATCATGAATCAGGGACTGTGTGACAGAATTTCTTTGATATGTTGTTGCTTTCCTGGGCTACATGCATAGAATGGTCACCTGTATAGCCAGTTTGAGTACAAAGAGAGAGAGGGGGAGATTGTTGTTGTCTTTTGAGGGGAGCAGGCAACTGAGATTAAAGGTCAAACAAGACATAATACAGAGATGGCACGGTGAATGATATATATTTTATTTGGGCTGAGGAGTTTAATATTTATTATTTTAGAACCACCATAAAAGACAAGTTTAGTTCAGTATGTATCTGTTTGAGACAGAAATGGCAATTTGTTTTGTCTACTTCCTGCATTGTAGAATTCTCCTCTGAACTTTTAAACTAACCTCATTTGCAGCATGATAACAAAATTCTACCAGCACATCCTGGCCCTGGTATTTGCTGTAAAAGTGATTAATGAGAATCCCAACTTCTTGCCCAATGTCACATTGGGTTTCCATATCTACGACAGCTATTATGATGCAAGGATGACCTATCGTAACACTTTGGACCTGCTCTTTAAAATGCGTAGATTTGCTCCCAACTACAAATGTGACTCACAGAAAAAACTCATAGCCGTAATCGGAGGACTTAACTCTGATACCTCTTTCCATATGGCTGATACCTTAAGGCTCTACAAAATTCCACAAGTAGGTTTTATGCATGGGGATATGAATTTTTATCTCACAAATCTCACTTTTCTATTACCATTCCGAAAATGATTTTGAGATTCAGAATGTGAATATGACTGATGCCGAAGCATTACAAGCTAGAATATCTATCAGAAACATAGATTACTCCTTAACAGTAGAGATTGCTAGACCAGTGAAAGCAGAGAGCATTCAGCACCCTGGACACTTCCAACACAACCATCCTGTACCAGCCATCAACTGCAAGTGAAGTTGTCTTTGCAAGGAGCCAGGACCACCTGAAGACTGACTAAGTTGACCTTAGGCTCTGCCTCCCTGGAGAGCCTGGATGACTGATAAAAGGGCCCTAATTTATCTTGTACTATTTGAGTTCTGCAAGTCTGGAGAGCCAGACATTTTTGCACAGTACTCATCATCATCTGACTCAGAGGACTACGGGGAGATGTATCCTCCAAGCAATGTGGCTCTGAATTAGACAATGGTAGTTCTCTTGCCAAGGAAATAGTCTGTGCTCAAGCAATAGTCTGTCCCCCACCATGCATTCCACTGCAGCAGTCATAGGTCATGACAACTCTCCAACTTTGAAGAGACCCCGGAGAGACTAGCTGGAAGGAGCACAGGGCACCAACATACCAACATACACTGGCATCCACAGAATATCTGCCACACATAAATACAGCACTTTGAGTATGTGAACCACAGTTTTCAACCCATGCAGATCGAAGATAACTGTTATATCTTCCTCTGCCATGTGCATCTTATACATGATTTCCAACAGCTGAACTAGAGTAGCATTCTGCTGGTGCACTGAAGAATTTTGCCAGCCTATCTGACATGGCAAAGACATATCTAGGGTTAATCCAACTAGTGCGGTTTCTCCCAAATCCTAAATTTCCACAGAGTAATTACACAATAGGATTGCACTCTACAAATGAAACAAAGGGACATTTCTGACAAGACATAAATACTTTATGAAATAAAATATCCAGAAATTGGAAAATGTCGCCACAACTCTAGAATATTCAGCTGGAAGCATCCTTCAGTTTAACTGTCTGGAAACCGTAAAATTGTTTCAACAAACATTTCTTGAATGAAGACTCACATGCTCAAAATAATTGTTTATAGTTAGGTACCCTTGTTATGTCTGTTCTTTTCCTTGTAGCTTGCATATGGATCGTTTCCCCCAGAGGAGAGTGATATAGATCACTTCTTTTCCTTTTACCGCATGGTGCCCAATGAAGCTCATCAGCATATGGCAATTATCAATTTGCTTCAGCATTTTGGATGGACATGGGTTGGACTCTTTGTTACAGATGACAATGGAGGAGAAAACTTCTTGCAGACTATGGAGCCACTGCTTTACCAACATGGAATCTGTTCAGCCTTCACACGAAGAATGGAAAAAGTAGCTCATTTTGATTTGGGGGGTGAAATTTTCAACATGCTCAACGAATATTATGTGGATGTCACAAATGATAAAGCCAATGCATTCATTGTCTATGGAGATTCTCTGACATTGGCCTGGCTGAGAACTGTTATATTTCTACGAGATCCTGAAAATAAGAAAAGTACATCATTTAGAAAGGTGTGGATCATGACAACACAGATTGATTTCGTATTATTGAGTTTTCAAAAGTCTTGGGATCTTGATCTCTTTCAAGGTGCCATTTGCTTCACCATTCACTCAAATGAGCTTCTCCTGTTCCATGAATTTCTTCAGATCATAAAACTTTACTGGAACCCAGCAGATGGTTTTCTCAAGGACTTCTGGGAGCAAGCATTTGACTGTACATTTCCAGATCTGCTCATGCAAGATACTGAAACATGTACAGGGGAGGAGAACTTAGAGTGTCTGCCTGGGCATCTGTTTGAAATGGGCATGACTGGCCACAGCTACAATGTCTACAATGCTGTCTTTGTTGTGGCTCATGCTTTGCATGCTATTTATTCATACAGATCAAAGCACAGAACAATGGCAAGAGACAAAAGGTTTGAACATCAAGACCTGCAGCCTTGGCAGGTAACATGTTGCAAAATATTATTTCAATGAGACAATTACCCAAAGCCCGAACTTTATGAAATAGGACATTTTTAGAGTGATACCATTTTGTAATTTTTCTATCTGCTACATGAAAATAGCTCCTTTTTCATACTTGCTCTGTGTTAGGGGCGGATCCATTAGGAATATTCATAAAGAAGGGAGTGACACAATGCAAACAAGATAGCCTTTCAGTTAGCCAATTACTCCAAAGCCACACATCACAAAATGTGATATTTTTAAAGTGATAACATTTTGTGAGTGCCCCTTTTCCTGTATGTTTAGCATGCACAGTATTTTAGCCTTTTGTTGCTTTGTTATAACTTTTCCATCAACTAGACTGAAATAGCTCATTTTTTATATTTGGTCTTCACTATATGTATATATATGTTTCTTTTCCCCCTTTCCCCCCTTTGAATCAGCTCCACTATTTTCTGCAAGACATTTTATTTAACAACTCAGCAGGGGAAACAATGTCCTTTAATGATAAAAGGGAAATGAGAGGCGGATTTGACATCACGAACATGATCACATTCCCAAACAAGTCTATCTTTCGAATGAAAGTTGGATGTGTTGATCCTGAAGCTCTTGAAGGAGAAGCATTCATCATTCATGAAGATATGCTTGTATGGCACAGAGGTTTTAATCAGGTCTGAATTCACCATGGGAAGACTGGACCCTGAATTTCTGTAGAAGTAATTTTTTAATTTATATTTACTATACCTTCTATATATAAAAAAGCAAAGCTTTGGCATATCCAAATGAAATTGCTTCATAGCCGCCCATTCGCTAATCTCTTTTTCTATCGTATAGAGATAATAACTCAGTAAGAGATCCCATATTTCTAGTGAAAGGTCCTGGTTCAATCCCTTGCATCTCCCGGCAGGGTTTAAATGAAATCCTGGAGAGCTGTTTTTCAATTGTTTTGCAGCATTTTGCAGAACAAACTGCATTTGGGTAAGCCCTCAAACAGTGAGGCTGACCTGCCAAACCAGGGGTCTTACCGGTCACCCAAATCCATGAATGCAAAACTTTGGCACAGGTTTGGAGTGGATTGGACAGTATTGCATTTGAGGTGACCAGTGTAGCACCTTGTTGGGGAATTCAGAGAGTGTTTGGAGGGCACTGCAAAAAGTGGGGTTTGTGCTGCAAAATGATTGCAAAGTTTGTCATAGATTTTTTAGGGGATCCCAAATAATGGGGTTCATAGTTAGTGCAGCTGCGTATGGCAGCTACTTATATTAAACCTTTTTTATGCTGAGGGGTGAGCTCCATTAAGAGGAGTCAAATAAGCAATTAGTTTCTCTGATCTCCTAAACTGCTTTTCTGCTATGCTTAGGTGATTCCCCTTTCTCTGTGTAATGACCACTGCCATCCTGGGAATCAGAAGAAAAAGAAAGAAGGGGGAAAGTTTTGCTGCTATGGTTGTGCTCCATGTCCAGACGGGGAAATTTCAAACCAGGATGGTGAGTTATGTAGAAATCATATTTTTTATCCTACGAGGATACTGACCGGAGTGGTTTGTGTGAGTTGGGGCACATGATAAAAATGCATAAAATCATGCAAGGCATTGAGAAATCAGATAAAAAGGAAGTTCTCATAACCCCAGGACTTGGGTGCATCTAAGGAATTTGAATGTTGGATGATACAGAACGGGCAAAAGAAAAGCAACTTCTTCATGAAGTACTTGATAAAGCTATGGAATTTGTTTCTTCAAGAGACAGTGATGGGCACAAATTTTGAAGGCTTCAAAGGAGGATTAGACAAACTCATGTAGGAAAAGGCTATCAGTGGCTATGACTTCAGATTACTTTGCTGGGCCTTCATGCTCAAAGGCTGTATTTTCCCAAATACCAGTTTCTGGGAAGTGTTGGGGTCGGGAAAGACTTCTGTTTCACTCAGGTCCTGCTTGCAGGATTCCCATAGGCATCGGATTGGCCACTGAGAGATTAGGAAGCTGGATGAGGTGGGTCATTGACTCTTATGTACTTATTTGAAAGACAGTTTGAAGGATTTCTACTCAGATATTATCAACTTAGCAGAAAACTTATAATAACCTTAAGAATAAGTGAGAACAAAGCATTTTAATATAAACACTAAAACACATGGATCCAATAGATTGAATTTCATGTCAGCAAAGTGGTCACATAGAAGACAAAGTACTGTTGAATCAATACTGAAATTTGACCTTGTTTATTTTTCAGATATGGATGACTGCTTCAAATGCCCAAAAGCTCAGTATCCAAACAAGAACAAAACTGCCTGCATTGAGAAAATTATAACCTTCCTTTCTTATAAAGAACCTTTAGGGATCAGTTTAGCATCAGTTGCCCTTTCTCTCTTCCTCATCACAGCTTTGGTGCTTGGAATATTCATTAAGTACAAAGACACTCCCATAGTCAAAGCCAACAACCGGGACCTCACCTACTCTCTCCTTGTCTCTCTCCTGCTCTGCTTCCTCTCTTCCTTGTTATTTCTGGGTGAACCTAGCAAAGTCTCCTGCCTCCTCCGGCAGCCAACATTTGGCATCATCTTCTCTGTAGCCATTTCTTGTGTGCTGGCCAAAACTGTCACCGTAGTTCTAGCTTTCATGGCCACCAAGCCAGGGTCCAGCATGAAGAAGTGGGTAGGGAAAAGACTGGCCTACTCAGTTGTCATTCCCTGTTCTCTTATTCAATCAACTATCTGTACTGTGTGGTTGATGACATGTCCCCCATTCCCAGATTTGGACATACATTATTCAGCAGAAGAAATCATTGTGCAGTGTAATGAAGGGTCAGTCACCATGTTTTATTGTGTCCTGGGCTACATGGGCCTCTTGGCCATTGCCAGCTTCGTTGCCGCATTTGCGGCCCGCAAGTTACCTGACAGTTTTAATGAAGCCAAGTTCATTACCTTCAGCATATTGCTCTTTTGCAGTGTTTGGCTGTCTTTTTTTCCAGCCTACCTGAGCACCAAAGGGAAACACATGGTGGCTGTGGAGATCTTCTCTATCTTGTCCTCCAGTGCTGGGTTGCTGGGCTGTATCTTTGCCCCTAAATGCTACACCATTATTCTGAGGCCTGAGCTGAACAACAGAGAACAACTTATTAAAAAAAGGTATTAAACAATTGTTTTCCACCTCACTCTGGTAAATTTTAAATATTTGATAAGTAAGGTACGCGGGTGGCACTGTGGGTTAAACCACAGAGCCTACGACTTGCCAACCAGAAGGACGGTGGTTCGAATCCCCGTGACGGAGTGAGCTCCCCTTGCTCGGTCCCTGCTCCTGCCAACCTAGCAGTTCGAAAGCACGAAGTGGAAGTAGATAAATAGGTATCGCTCTGGCGGGAAGGTAAACGGCGTTTCCGTGCGCTGCTCTGCTTCGCCAGAAGCGGCTTAGTCATGCTGGCCACATGACCCGGAAGCTATAACGCCAGCTCCCTCGGCCAATAAAGCGAGATGAGCGCCGCAACCCCAGAGTCAATCACAACTGGACCTAATGGTCAGGGGACCCTATGTGATAAGTAAGAGTTCAGTACCAAACACTCTCTCCACTCACACACCCCATATATTACAGTAGCAAACGTACTTGAGATTACTTTTTCGCCACTTGTTTAATTTTATTTTATACCCACAAGTCTCAGTATCCAATTGCTTTTTATACAAAAAATTCACTTACTCTACCATGAGTAATTAGTACCCAAATCTTGTTATATACACTGTAGATTCAGCTCTCCAAACAGTTGGGCCTGTGTTTATTACTGTGTACAAATAAGCAGAGTTTTCTTCCTTCTTTTACAAGGTTTCAGAGGGTTTTCCTGGGTTTTTCACCCTTTGTGGGGTGTCAAAATTTTGAGACTGACAACACCTTAGAAATATTCCCATTGAAATTCATGGAAATTGTTTACTCATTATGTAAATGGACACCTAAAAAACCATTTCCTGAGAATGCATTGTATTCAGATAGTGAGATTTTTGAGGAGTGTGATGTACCACAGCTATATGTGAGTATTTAACTTTAGACTAGTTCAAGGTTGCCTTTTAAGTTCTTTTTTTAAATAAACATTTGTAATATTTATTCTTTCAAACATGAAACCCTTTGTCATTACAGATAGCACATTCTTTTCTTCTTGATATGTTTTATTATTGACTTAGAATATCTCATAGATATATACAAATCTCTTTATTGCCAATTATTGACAGCTTATTCTCCCCCCCTCTTTTTCTTTAAAAGCTAATTTCCTTTTCTTTTCTTTTTTATGTAGCCTGTTTCTGGTTACTAAAATTCATTAAAAATATTTGAAAAGAACAACCACATTGTGGAATGTGAATTATTTATTTTAAAAGCAAAATTAAAGATTAGCCATGTCCCAAAACGTATTCAGGACTACATCTGGGATGGGATGTGGGTGGTCCCCAGTTAGACCCATTATGGTTGTGATTCAGACTGGGGCTTGAATCCCCATGTCATGAAGCAGACTCAATATCAGAGTTTTCCAAACATTCGATTTGGTGACTCATTTTTTAAACATGCATCATTTTCCGACATAATGATTCAGTTTTACTTCCAAACTTTATGTTAAAATAACCCCTTTTTAGCCCTGGGAGGAGTGTGTGGGGACCATTTGTGTGACACACCTACACACTGCAGCTGATCACTAACATGTTACGACACAAAGTTCAGAAAGCTCTGCTCTATGTCCTTGGGCTGACTGTTTTCCTAAACTGAGGATGGGGAGAAGCATGTACATCACCTTGACTTCCACAGAGGATAAGGCAGTCGGATAGCTCGGTTGGTTTGAGCGTGGTGCTGATAATGCCAAGGCTGCAGGTTTGATTCATGTAAAGGAGAGCTGCACAGGCCTGCATTGCAGGGGTTGGACTAGATCAGGCATAGGCAAACTCCGACCCATTAAATGTTTAGGCCCAAACATCTGGAGGGCCGGAGTTTGCCTATGCCTAGACTAGATGATCCTCAGGGTTCCTTCAACTCAGATTCTGTATAATCTGTTGGATTTTTAGTAATATATTTGAACTTCAGTTTTATTGAACTGCATGCCACAGTTCAGGGCCAACAGTATGCAAGTGTCAAGGAAGCTATAAGCCACAAGAAAGCTTCCTTCAGAAAGAGATAATCTTGTTGAAATGAGAAAAATGAAATGAAACGCATCTTGAAAAGAAGTGCGAGCACAATTCAAAGAGGTTTTTGCAAGTAATAATAATAATAATAATAATAAGTAACTAAATACAATGACCAACACCAAAATATCATTTAAATGCATTAGAAACAGGTGACCAATTGGAAGGGAGTTAGGCCTTTCAATGACAATGAAGGGTTTGTCCACAAGGGACAACTGTGTAATGAGACAAAGGTTGGGTATAGCTGTGGTTGTGTCTAATTTCTGCTTCTCTACTATGCTAGAAGGGGGATCAGTGCAGTTTATTTCCCTTACTGAGACCCACATATTACAGAGATCCATCACATGTGATTTGTGAATTTTCCCCACACTTACGTTGCCAGAAGGAAAGGAAGTATATGTTACAGTTGGCATTCAGTGCCTATATTAAGATGCATGAATCTGCTTTGGGTGATTAAGCTAAGAAGGCCATTAAACTGGGAACTGGGAATTCTCCCACAGCAAATTGTATCTTGAGTCCCTAAATTAGAAGTAAAATATTTATTCTAGTGACAGTTATGTGATGCAGACAATTGGTGCAGCAGCAGAGGGTAAATAGGAAGAACACCAGAAACTTTCTGGAGAGACTAGTAGATGACTTCAATTAAATATATGTGATTAATATAATATTGCCTGGGCAATATTAAGTTGAGAAACCTGCATTGCAGCATGTTGGACTTCTTGGAAGTCCAACTTTACAATTGTATGTTTGCATTATTCTATGGCTTGTCCTCTTATGTGGCTGATATGGGCAGTACTTTTGGAGGTAAGTGTTTGGTGAGATACTATTATTTTCTTCTGAGGTGTGGCATCTGTACAGAACACATTTGGAGCTGACATGTAACACCTTCTTAAAGCTGTGGGAACCCAAGAGGGGCTAGGACAACAATAGGGCTGTCATACATTGGGCCAAATGTTTGGGGAAACCCAGATGCATGGCAAAACCCCATTTTTGAGGGGGATATGCTCCCACCCCTCAAAAAAGCTGAATAACTTTGAGCAAAGTTCAACAACCTTTTCACTTTTCACTTTGGGGAATATGGCAACCATAGTCAAGAAGGCCTTCTTCCCCCATAAGATGTGCGGGCTGATGGAAATAGGTGGCAGTGTGCAACTTACATATGTGGTTAACAGCTAACCACAGTGAAAATAATTTGCACACTTCAAATGAAAACGGCCCTATGTTTCACCCTGACTTCTCTTTTGTTCCACCTCTTTCTTTCATGGTTATTGTTGCAATAGTATAATTTTCCCCTTCTGGATGACACATCTGTATCCTGTCACAAATTTATTGGGTATTATTCCTCAGGGTGGGAGGCTGAGAAAGGAGGAGGCTTTACTAGATGAGAGCCTGTAAGATTCCTTTCTTAGTATGTCAATCAATGATCAAGATAGAAAAGTGATGGAAGCTATATGCCCCCTGGAGTACCTTAAGGTCCATATATAGCAACACCCTAGAGGTCCCGGGCCCTAAGGAAGTTAGATTAGCCTCAATCAGAGCCAGGGCCTTCTTAACACTGGCTCCGGCCTGGTGGAATGCTCTGTTTCATGAGACCAGGGCCCTGCAGGATCTGATTTCTTTCCGCAGCGCCTGTAAGACAGAGTTGTTCCACCTGGCCTTTGGCTTAGAATCAGTTTAATTCCCTCCCCCTCTTTCTTTTTCCTTTCTCCTCCTGTGAAGAGGCTGCATCCTAATGTTTTAATGTTGTATTTTAATCTTTTTTAAATTGTATTTTAATCAACTTGTTTTTATTATTGGTTGTTAGCCGCCCTGAGCCCGGTCTTGGCTGGGGAGGATGGGGTATAAATAAAAAAATATGATTATTATTATTATTATTTGTTCTTTTTCCTTATTTTTCTCTTTCTTCTTTTTCTTGCATTCCTGTTACTCCTTCTCTCTCTTTGTAGTATTTTCTTTAGTAATTCATATTTAACATGTTTCATTTTTATTGTGTCATATATTTCAAAACAATAAAGTGTGTACTGGAGAGAAGAGGCTGGAAAGCCTTACTGGACCTCTGTGTGAACTGCTCATGACTGTTCACAGATAGAACATCTACAAGGCTGTCTATGTTGCGGCACATGCTTTGCATCCCATTTACTAGTCCAGATCAAAGCACAGAGCGATTGAGGGGGATGAAAGTTTTGGATTTCAAGATCTGCAACCTTTGCAGTAATTTTAAGGGGTGCTGCACTGCTATTAGAAACTTAGCTCTACTTTTCACCGTATCATCTGAATTTTTCCAATTTTCATCTCATGAAATGCCACAATTTTTCCCATGATTATATTTGTAGGGGTCCAGAAGTATTTTTCCACATCAATAATGAAAATAATTGTACTCTTCTACCATCATTGCATTATAAATGTTTAAAACTCCTTTCCAAGGGCTGAATGAAAATGGAGGAGGAAATACGTAAAACTATGGTTGCTACATTCTTTTGAAAATGAGAGATTGTTGCAGAAGAGACAGGAAGGCTGTTTCTTCTGGTCTCTGTGGCAATTTCTGAGAGGAAATTGATGAAAACCATTTGACATATCTCTCTAATCTGAAGATTTCTCTCATGGAAGCATTGAACCATCTCCCCTCAAAACACAACATGGGAATCAAGAGACCATTCCCACCTTCCCACAGACATTCACATCCTTCTGCTCAATACACTTTGAAGACTAGTCCCTTCTTCCCATTGCAGGAGCAATTCATTCTGAAGGCTACCAGTGCAAATGAAACACTATCCGAAGGGCTTGAAACCCTGGGAAAGCATGTGGAAGGAAGAGAAGGTCCCAACAAAATAAGAGTGGATTACCAAAATGATGGATTATGCTGAAATGACAAAGATGACTGTGAAGATCAGACATCAAGATGATGAAATTTTAAAACAAGGATGGGACAATTTTGTTGCATACCTTAAAATCCACTGTAGCTATTTGGAAACATTAGCAGGATTGATATAACATTTATGAAGTAAAATGAATTAGATTAGTAAATGAGGAGATGAAACAGAATGGATAATTTAATTATATGCAAGAAAAGAGTATAAAATATGAAAACCAGGGTGGGACGGGGGCAAGTCCGAGGGGGTTGTATAATCCTAGTATTGTATATATGGAATTTTTTTGGAGTGTATAGCAATATTGTTAACTTAAAAAAACTGGGGGGGGGGTTAAGAAAAAAGAAATCAATTGATTAATTCTCCTCTTGATGATGAATCTGGATTTGTGGTTTTTTTGGTGTGTGGTGTCTTTTTTTTGGGGGGGGAGGTTTGCCATAGATTTATTGTGTAGAGAAATGTTGGTTTCCCAGTCCTTTCATTAAACTAGAGTGGTCTTTGTTGCAAGATTGTTGCTTTGCATCCACAAATGGCTTGACTCTTTTTTCTTTTTCTTTTTTGCTGAGTTTCACATACCACAGAAGATTTCATGCCAATTGCCACTTTGTGGGCCACTCAGGGGCAGAGGTAACATGGAGTCATTATGATGATGGTTTTTTAAAAAGTGTCAATATGAGTTAAAACTCTGAAAATGTTATTATCTCTCCATGCAATTATCCAAATTATTATAATTTGTTCCATTAATCAAAACTCAGGTGGCTTTCCAGTATCCACTTCTTAAGAGGCTTGTAGTAACAGGAAATAAGCTGTGCTGCAAGGATGCTTGATCTATTTCTGTTGCTGCTTTTGCAAGTGGCTTTTGTCTACAAAGCAAATACTACCAGGTGTCCCACCAGTTATCCTGTTCCTGTTCCCCATGAGTGGTACCAGCCAGGTGACCTCATCATCGGTGGGATTTCTTCTCAAATCTTTTATGTATTTGATGAAGTTTTCTTCAAAGAAGAGCCTTCACAGAATATGTTCAAACTTCCATAGTAAGTGTCTCCCCACATATCCCTTCAAATCCCCTTTTCTTCCGTATCATGTCTTACTGATTTTAAGTCTTAAAGTGGTGAGTTTTGACCACTGATGTATATAAACTGCTTTGGTGATCTTTTCTGCCTAAAATAGGGCCAATAGGGCCAACCATGAGTGCTTCTCATTCTCAGTCACTGTCTGAGTCTTCTAAACTGACAGACATTAAACAGACTTTCATTCTCCCATATTAAAAATCTTTCTATTCTGTAAAGCAACAGAGGAATGGACAAGGAGACATTCACCAAGGGGTATTCTACAAACAAAAACTACATCATCTGAAAATGCTTTAATTTATAGGTTTGCTGTCCCACTTTGATACCTTGTATCTCATCACTTTCCCTTATCTTTCTAAACTTTTAACACCAATATTAACAATAACAGAGACAATGGTCAACCTTGTCAGATTTTATATCCAAGGCCACCAAATTTTACAGTTCCTCAGCCAATGCTTCCAGAGCAGCTGTGTCAAGCTCCTTTTTGTACTTTCTTCAGAATTCTTGTGCTTCAGGCAATTCAATACACCAGTGCCCCTTGACTATGTAGGTAAATGATATTCCTTCTGGATATTCCCACCAGAATTGTATTCATTCAGTCAGTCATTCATTCAATTATTCTCACATTAGGTTTTAAGCAGAACTCAGAGAAATAATTGCAGATTTAAATTGTGTATACTCAATCAAAGCTGGTTCTTCGGAACTAGTGTTCAGAGCTGGGGGCATTTCTGAGCACTGCTGGGCACATCTCTTGATTCTAGGAATGTGTTGAAAATGATTTG